CCTATTTTATTTTGTTAATAAATATTTTTTACATTGTAAAAAATATTTAACTATAAAGTTATTAACTTTGTTGTTTTCATAAAGTATGCACTATTTGTATACCATTTCAAATAACCAAAAATTATTTATAAACGTGTGTTTTAATCATTTTAATCTAAAACGAACACAGTTTGCGTCACTTACATATTTTTTCTATTAATTGCTATAAACTATGCAAATATTGAAAAGGGTAGTAACAATCAATTAAAACTTGTTCCGCCCCTTTATCATAAGCAGAAGTATATTGTTCGATTTACCAATTTGAAGACCAATTTACTCAAGCCAATTCTATTTTGAAACGAAAAGAATGTATTTATTATTCTTTGTTTTCAGTGTGAATTAAAAATGGTGTTTAATTTAATATTAAGTCTTTCAATGGAGCATTCAACGTTTAGTAGGACCCATCCTAATATTTTTTAAAGGATACCTCTTCCATTTTTAGGACCCCCGTTTAATAATATTATCAAGAAGTCCCCATTCCCTGTTTGATATACCACCCCTTTCATGCTTCCTAGTGAATTTGGCACCTCAGAGTAACGAACGTAATCTCATCTATCCGTTAAACGGAGAGTTCGTCAAAAATTTCTTTTTATCTTTATTAATAAAAAAATAATTTTAAATCTATACTTTTTTAGATAGATGTTTGATTTTAGTTTTTACTTTATTTTAATGTATTTAGATGAAGCTGATAACATTCGTTCACTTTAAAAAAAATAATAATAAAATTGCCGACAAATACTCCGCTAAGCTTAACGGAGATATCTGAAAACGACCCTTGAATGTTTAAGAAAAGATCCAAACAAAAAAAGAAATTTAAAAAAACCTGCAATAATTGAAGAAGATTATCCAAAAAGTAGAGATGCGATGGAAAATGTAGGTTGGACTTGACTGATTTTGGAATGAGTAACCAATCCCCCAAAAATTTACTTAAAACCTACCATGCTGGAAATTTCATTAAAAAATCTTCAATGGTATTCCACCACTGAGTTTTTTTAATCTTTAAAGAGTCAAACAAAACACATAATTTTTGTTGTTGTCATTTTATATATAAACCTTAGGTTAGTAGAAGACGGAAACAAATTCGGCAATGTCTGCACGACAGATTGGACATCTTTTATCGTTGTTAAGCGACAATATTTCTTTACACCGGTGACAAAGACTAAAATGCCTGCAAGGCAAAATAAGAACTTCTAGGCGATTTACATAACAGACTTTACATTTACTTTCATCACTTGGTTCGGTAGGATCAATATTGGAAATTGTCTGGAAAGCGTTGAGGCCAATAAGTTCCGTTTCAACAAGTTCTTGAACGTTTTCATCTAACGGCATTTTTAAGTCTGAAAAAAGATGAGCACAAGAATCTAAAAATTTGGTAGGGGTCTATTCACCTGAATTAAGACGGCATTCATAAAGATTCAGTTTTTCAGCAGTTTTTTGTCTATCTCTTCTTGGTGCTGGTCTTGGGTTTTCTCCATTTTCCATTTGTCTGACTTCAACCTCAGTTGGCAAAATAATCTGGTGAACTAATTCATCAAGAAATCTCCAAAAGCCAGTATGTGAAGTCATATTTCGACTCATTTTTGAATGAAGTGACTCAGAAACATTGTTGGTACGATGTTTCAGTCCAAAAACAGAAAAATGGTTAGGAGTTTTACAACCCATCCAAAAATGATCAAAGTATGATTCAAACCTTTTCATTTTTTCTTTAATATCTGCACGGGGAAATTAAGCGGTTATAATTTTAAGTTTTGTTAACTCTCCTTGAACTAAGTAGCTAGGAAGCATACACAAAGCAATATATTTTTTTCCCCATTTTCTTATAACATTGTCATGAACATACTCCGTTTGTAATCCTACGGCTTTTATTTTCTTTAATATTGATTGACCAAAATGAAAACGACATCCTGTAATTCTAATGTTTGGAAAGCTAGATTTTAAAGCATTTAAAATAGCTGCTTCATAGTCCACCATAGAAATAATTGGTGAAAAATCATTTTCCAGTTCCTTTACCTTTTCCAATGCTGCTTTGTACAGCCCCAGTTTTTTCCCGGACATCAAGATATGGACGATAGGCAAAACAATTCCTCGAACCTCAGTTAAAATATTAAAAAGTTGACCACCAGAAAAGTTTGTTGGAACGACTTTAAAAGTAGCATCTGCAAACATAATGCTAGCTTCTAGATAAAAAAAAATTAAATAAAAATTACGTAAAGTGAGAAATGAAAACATTAAAACAAAATGGTAGCAATGGACATGATACTGTAAAAAATTATTTTAATTTACACGTATCAAGGAGCGCGCAGAGGAGGGAGATATTTAGAAGTTTTCCACAGAAAACTACTCAACAAATTTCACATAAATTCTTAGTACTTTTTACTTATTTAATAATAATATATATATATATATATATATATATATATATATATATATATATATATATATATATATATATATATATATATATATATATATATATTATGTTAAAGATAAAATATAAAAAAGGCTCGATGATAGGGCAAAATAATGTCGCTCCAGGCATTTAATTTGTTTATGAGTACATTGTAGATATATTAATAAACGGCAAAATTAAATTTAGCCGTTTAATAATTAACAGAAAATAAAAAAAGTTCAAATAGCTTTTTAATAGCTATTTAATTTATTATTTGAATACTTAGATTAATATTTTTCATGAATATTTATTAAATACTTCTTGAATTGATACTTTCCATGGGAAAAACTCTTTTTATTTAATATTTGAAATAAATATAAATTTATTTATTTTTAAACATAGTTACCTTTTAATAGATTGAGTAAAAAAGGCGAAGCAAAAACAACGCCAATCTGATCTTCAAAAAGAATTTCCCTTCTGTAAAAATCTTGAAATGGATTTGGTTCTAATAGCATCACTATAGCTTCATTAGGAGTAAATGGATTTCGTTCAAATTGACTTTGACGAGCATTTCGTAGAGTCTAAAAAGTAGTATAAACCAACTTAACATTGTTTGTCACTGGAAAAAAATGAGACAATATTAGCCAACATGCATTTTACTTTACAACAACAACAAACATTTGTGTTGTTAAATGTTTTCATAAATATTTAGTAAAAATTTTTTTTCATTTACCTGGACAATCTTTGAATAAGTGAGGGACATTTGAACATGAAGTGGAGCATCTTCAAGAACTTCATTATAAATGGTTTTTAAAGGCTTTTGGGAACAAGCGGCTTGCTCGCGCATCTTTTGCAGACTATTTAGATAATCATAGCACATAACAGATGATCCACAAGTGTGAGAAGCGATTGGTTCCATAAGTTCATATGATGGATCAATTTTGGCTGTTCCATTGCAATCTTTATAGTGCTTACACTTGAGATAAATAACACCCGTTGAACTTGTTCTATTTTTTATGTAAGCAAATTCCCCAGATATATATAAAAACGAATTTCTACGATCGCCTTCAACTTTTTGATATTCCATTTTTTTAGCAAACGACTTGCGAGTCAATTTATACGAGAACAAGAAAACCGCAAGCTTTTTCTTTTGTTAGTCAGCTTTGTTTGTTACGTTACTTTCTCTCTTTTATTTTTTTGTTGTTATTTTGAAATCAATTGATAGAAAACACAGGTGTTTGAATTTATTATTAACTAAATGTTTTAAATTGCAATATGGAAAGGTACTCTTTGAGTCCTTAATACAAAAAGGGGGGGGGGGGACAACGTTTATTAATTTTTACTTTTTATCAACAAAAAATTTGTTATCTAAAATCTGAAAAAAAATATATATTGAAAATGGGTATCAAATATTAAAAATAATTATTTCAGTCACCGATAAAATTAAAAACTCTCAGTGTAAACTGGCTTTAAAGATCGTCGACCTAGTAAATCTCGATATGTCAAAAATTAAATGTGAAAAAATAGTCGAAAATGAAAAATCTCGATACGTCAAAATTTTTAGTTTATTTCTCACCTAAGTATATTACAAGTAAGTAACTTACATCAGCATATTAAATCCTATCGAAATTATGATAAAACAGCTGTTAGAAAATGCGCATTTGACCCTTAGCCACGTTAGAATTAAATAGTTTACGCGTGTTTTGTAAAAAGTATAAGTTAGGATTTAAAATTTTTTTTAAAAATACTTATTTTGTAACATGGCATTTACTCCGCCTTTTATACCCTGACCAGGCATTAAACCTTGGACCTATCAACTATAAGCCAGCGCTCCAGTCACTGCGCTACGGCTGATTAAGTTCAGCTCTGATTTAAATCAACTAAAAAATATATAAAATACATACCGGAAAAGACGTAGTTATAAAGTCGATCAAAAAAACAGTAGGTCGAAAATACAGTAGGTTGAAAGTACAGTAGGTTGAAAATTGAGTAGGTTGAAAATTGAGTAGGTTGAAAATGCAGTAGATTGAAAAAGTAGTAGTTCATGTTTTAATTAGTTGTAAGTGTGAAAAACCAAAAGTTGTAGATTGAAAATCAAAATTGTCAAATTCTATGATTTTAGATATTTTAAAATTAGGTTGAGTTATAGGCCACCGAAAGAAGTTATAGTTTTGCATAAATAACTAATCTGTAAAATGAATGGGTAGGTTTAAATTGTTCGACAATTTTTTTAGCTCATAGAAAATTTGACGATTTGCGAAGTTAGAATTATGATGTTCTTCGCATTTAAGAGTTTTGAGATATAACGATTTAAAAAATAAAAACTTTGTACGGCAGCATATATAAATTTTTTTGTATTTTAAGACTTATGTTTTCTTCACATCATTTTGATTTTAACTTAATTCTCAATATAGTAAAAAACATTTTGAGATACATAACACAATCAATATCTGAAATTTTTTAAAAAGTGGAGATAAAAAGTAAAAGAGTAAAAAAAATCACAATTTTTCTATTGGGTGTAACAAAAAAAATATTTTAGTTATTTAACAAAAGTAAACCTAAAAATAAGGACTTAAAACTAATTTTAATTTTATTATCATAATACCTACATTTGACATTCATTCTATGTAAAAATCGCACAATATTTCCTTAAATTCATCTGACTCATTAGAAGTTACAGGATCGTTATCAAACTGTTTAGAAATTGTTATTTTTTTGGCAATGGGATTGCATTCATGGTCTTCTGAATGATGACCTCTTTTTCTAGCAGCTAGAGTAATCTCTGAATTGTTTTTTTCATTGCTAAATTCAAATTTTATATTATTTTCACTGCTTTTATCAATAAGCATGGTATGATTTTGCAAATTATTATTTTCTTCATCGCTGCTATCAACAACAACTATGTTCAGATTTTTATCGTTTGCTTCTTTAGAAACCTCTTTATTCTGATGCAGATTATCTGAGAGCATTGCTGAGTATTGGATATCATCTATTGTTAAAGTATCATTTTTCTTTAACAACTCACAGCTTTTTATACTCTCTTGAACTTTCGGTGTTTGTTCATTATTAACCTGTTCTTTTTGAAGTTCTTTTTGAAATTGTATAGAAAATCTTTCAGTCTCCAATGCTGTCTAAATTATAAAATGTTTTTTACATTTTTAATAGCCATAAATTTTGTTTAAAATAATTTACACTTATACACTATTTAAATGTTTACAGATTTTAGTCCTGGTTGCTCTTGGTTATTTTAAGTTTTAGTTTTCTATAAATTTTACACTATAAAGAAATATACAAAGCCCGTTATCCGCAGCTCCACTCAAAGTTTTAGACTCAAACGGATGCAGCTCTGACTTGACATTTTTAGTATTATTTTTAATTTCTTATTTTAAAACTTTAAACTGAATATTTTATACAAATTTCTTTTAAATTTATTTACATATTACACATTAATAAAATACCTGAAATGTATTAGTGGCAAGATCTTTAAAAAGATTACTCTCTAGCGATTCTTTGCAAAATGAAGGATTTGAACTGTGAATTATTGCATCGCACATCAATAAACAAGTTTGACAGTACTCAGATACCAAACTGTATTTATCATTTACACCCTTTTGAAAAATAGTAAGAAGAATTGAAACTGGCACATTTAATAAATGATGGTTTAAATTTAATAGAGCATATGCAATTTGAAAAACCATCTTTCGAACATACTTGTTTTCATATATGGTTCCATAGGTATTATTTATACTATAAATCACTTGGATAATGCTAAATATCCTAGCAATTATTAACTTTATGCAACCAACTTCTAAAATTGACCCAGAGTTATTCAATATAATTTCAAGGAGTTTGAGAGCAGAAAATGCTTTCTGTTCTTGAAGGAAAGTAGCATTTTCTTGATGAGTAATACAGTTTAATTCCTTTTGTATCATTTGACTTAAAGTTTTCCCTTTATTTCTTTTCTTTGAACTTTCATCGTTGACAACAACTTTTTCAGGCTTATCAAATTTTATATCTGCAATGACATACTTCAAAATGTTTTCTATAAAAGATGTTTTAGATGCTACCCCTTTCCATTTTGTAAAAATCATGCCAAAACATTCATAAGTATTAACTATACAAGAATCTCTGGAAAATCCAATCAGTATTACCTTCAAAATAACAGAACTATATGACAAGAGTAAAGAGGAAAACTGATGCACTGAATTAACAATGCATTTTAGCAATCCGTTGAATATTTTTGAAAAAGATGCATCAACTCCAAGTCTTTGTTGTGTTTCATTAGTAGGAACATGCATTAATTCAGCAACAGATGTAAAAATCGTCATTAGATGATTAATTGGAATGTCTATTTTGAAAGACACTGGTTGCATAACAAAAGCATTAACAACATATAACAGTCTTGTTAATCGTAAAGAACTATACAAAACAACAGCATCTCCATTATACACAGAAGGTTCAAAATCAATCAGTTTTATATCACTTTCTCCAAATAACTGTCTTTCTTTTCCCATTAAATGATCTGAACATTTTAGGGTCAAATCTAAAATTGTTTTTAGAACTCGCTTAAACAGTAATTCATAGCGTTCAGCTTGTTTTATACGTCGTTCACCACCAGAGCCACACAAAGCTAACAATGGAAAGCAAGTACAAGCAGAAGCACTTAGAGATTCATTTTGAGAAAATAAAACTGTCACAATCACCATTTCAATAGTTGTATAATATTGTCCACATGCAGCTGGATAGTATTGAATACAAATTGAAATTAGCTCAAAGGTTTCACATATAATATCCAAACTGGGTTCTATAGACACAAAAAAGGTAATTATGACCAAAATGAATTAAATTTTTAATTACTTTATACTAATATAACTAAAAAATATATATTAAGGTAACAAAATGAAAATAAAGAAATATATTAGGATCACTTACAGAAAAAAAATAAAAAATACTCTAAATTAAATGCCAGACACAAACAAAAAAAAAAAAGAAATTATGAAGGATTCAAATTTATACTTATAGCAACAATGTATCAAGACTAAAATCAATAACTGATTAAAACCATTCGCTTACCAAGAACTATTTTCAGCAGCGGTTCTACAACATTAAGAGCAATCTCCCTAGATAACTTATCAAATACAACAGATCTTTTTAACAAGTCAATAAGGATATAGAAACATACTTTCAATACATTTTTAGCAGGTATCGTGTTTAGTACTTGAGTTATTTGGCGAATCCATAATAAGGTATAATCACCTAAAATGTCATTGCCAGTTTTTTTCAATGTAACTTTCAGCAAACATATACCTTGCCATTGTTGCCACTTGTCTTTAGAATTAAGAAGCTCTTTTATATTACATAAAACTTCTTCAAGATCATTCTAAAAAATCATAAAGCAAAGCAAAAAAAAAAAAATAATAATAACAACAACAAGAAATTAAGAAATTTAGAAGTCTTTAATTTATATTTAATTTAAAGAAAGAAATCTAAGAAAAGAAGTCTAAAGCAATTTAAAAAAGTAAATGAACATGATTTAACAAAAAAGAATTATATTTCAAATAAAATGCATAAAAGTTTGATTAAAAAAATAAACTGTGGTAAAAGCTTAGTTCTTTTATAAAGTATTATGCTTTTGCATAGTATTATTTTTATGTTTTCTGATATTTTTTGTTTTTCTTGATAGGATCTCTTGTTATCAAACAATTTTTTTTGTTTGTTTGTTATGTTTTTGTTATATATATATATATATATATATATATATATATATATATATATATATATATATATATATATATATATATATATATATATATATATATATATATATACACATATATATATATATATATATATATATATATATATATATATATATATATATATATATATATATATATATATATATATATATATATATACACTATTTTTTAAAGTGTTTACTTGAGATTAGTATCTATTACTATTTGTAAAAATCTGTGAAATTTTATTTTAAGAATAAATATGACTGACTTATTAAAGCATCTGTTATTTTATCACTTTATCGTTTCTTAAATTTTTAAATAGTTATTTAGGATATAAAAAAAATAACGTTTTTTTTACTTGAACACACGTGGATTCTAAATTTGGAATCCATGTTTTTAAATCACAAAATGCAGACCTTATAATTTTAAAATATTTTAAAGAAAAAAGTTTCTAATTGCAAAAAGCTACTTAAAATTTAAACAAATTATGTTTAAATAATTGTTTTAAAAGCTAACTAAAAAATAAAGTTACCTTGCGTATTTGATCACTGCATTTTATTTTTTCTATCACTTGAATATTCTGTCTCGTAGCATCCATGTTATTCTGTCGGTTAAGCGTAAAAATAGTCAGCAGCCGTTTTACTTCTTTCCCAACTAACGCACTGCGTAAGATAGTACTACAAAAACGTACCATAAATATTTTTTGCTTAAATTTCAATTTCACTGCAGAAATTATAACTTATATATTTTATATATTTTATAATATATTTTAACTTTTTTTTAATAGTTTAATAGTTAAATAGTTAATACTATGTAGAGATTTTCAGCAAATTTTATGTAAAAAGATAATTTTTGAAGCCCTACTGTTTCATATTTTTGTAAATTTTCAATTGAAACTCATTTTACTTCATCACTTTAAAATTCATTTTCTATAAAACCTTTTATGAATAAGTATAAAGTGTTATACATTTTTGAAAGCATCATGTTATGGAGATTTTAGAGCAAATTCATATTTTTAATTATATGGTTTTGCTTATTAATAATTAAGGGGTTGTCCATTAATTACGCCAACAAAATAGGGGGGAGGAGGTCAAAACTTTTTTGACAACTGTTGACACGGGGGAGGGGGAGGTCAATTGAAGTTGACGTCGACAATTTTTTTTTTTTTGAATTTCATTGCTTAAATAACGGAAAATTAGGCTGAGTTTGTAGTAGAGCGTAACGGTTATTCGTTTTCAAACCCCCCTACCTCGTCACAAAATCGTAACGAGTTTTGAATGAGTCGTCACAAAACCACCCCCATCCTCCTTATAGTGTGACGTAATTTATGGACGATGTTCGTAAAAACTAATCCTTTAAATTATTCGTAGGATACGAATATATTCGTAAACTAATTTTTGTTTAATAAATAATAACCGTTTAACAAATATATATTCGACGAACAAATAAATGGGAACCAATATATATTGGTTTACTTTTATTCGCTAAACGAACTATTATATATTCAACGAACATTATTTGTTTATAGAATATTATTTGTTAAGCGAAGTTTATTTGTTAAACGAATATTATTTTCAAACGAATATAAAATAAACACAATTTGCATTTTACAAATATATTATTAAATTTTATTTTTCAATATTTGAAAATTTTAAATAAACATTTGAATATTGCGAGTTAGACTCTTTGAGGGAATTTCGGAGTTATGTTATACCAACAACCTGCAGGCCACGATTCATTTACGAAGCCGCCACCGACATACGCTGGTGGCGTACAAGTTTAATATAAAAGTACTAGTGGTAAAAAAACGGAATATAAAAAGAAGGAGGTATAATCATTCGCGTCGTTTAAAAATTTAAAAGACATTTCATTATTTCAGGGCCGACGACACGGGTTTCAAAGTGAGAGGCATACTTCCTTATTTCTAAAAAAATTGTCAACTTTCTGAGTCAATTTCAAAAAAAAAAAAAGGTCCTAAAAAATAAAAGTGCAGGGATTAGTCCCCCCCCCCAGTTTTATGGTTTAAAAAAGCACATGTCGTTTTGATTTTCATATTTCTTTAATTTAAACATTACGGGGGCTGTTATGCCACCACTTCCCCTAAGCAAAATGAAGGAAACTGTTTTACCAACGCATGCTGTTTTTTTTGCCATATTAGATAAAATTATTAAAGGGAAATGTTGAAAAACGGTTGTGCCTCCATATGCGGTTATGCCCCCACTTCCCCTAATTGTTAAATTATTTATTGTTATTTATCTTTAAACTACGAAATTAACCACAATTTGTTGTAATAATCACAATTTATTGCTGTCACTTTACTTTATAAAACAAGTAAGGAAACAATATTTATAAGTTTGTTTCTAATTGATAAGTAATGTTTTTCGGCTTATTATATATTATATCAACGAAATATTTAAATTAAATTAATCTTCAGCAAGATAACTTCACAGGTAAATTTTTACGCAATTTATTAATTTTAATAAATCAAATTTAGTTGTGTATAACCGTGCGACTCCGAACAAAAATATCATTTCAGGTTTTTAAATGGTTTTATTTTTTGCAATAATAATAAGGCTTTTTTTAATTAAGTAATTTTTTTGTAATATACCCAATACTTTTTAGCGGAATTTTATGTGACCATACCGTACTTTATGCTGATTTTTATGTGTACATACCTTTTTTTAGCTTAGTCTTATTTGTTCATACTTATTTTTAAATAAGTTTTATGTGTTAATTCCTTCTTTTTAAATTGAGTTTTATGTATATATACCCTTTTTTTAAATCCAGTTAAACAGATAATTTAATTTAAAGAATATATTATCTTAAATAGCACCAAGTTTTTTAACCAGCATTTTTTTTCAAAATTAGAGAAGATTATTTTACGATTCATAATAATTGTACGATGTCAATAGTGAGTGGAGCGATTACCATCCTTTCGCGCGAAAGGATGACAATATTTTTTCTCAATTATGCTCAACAATTTGGAAAAAAGTCTCGCGTTATTGATGATGACGACTCTTCAGAAACCAATTTCATCAGTACACCCAAACGAGCTCGTCTTGTTGCCTCTTCTGAGTCATGCTCTCAATTTTTAACATCATCTGGTAAGTCAAAAAATGCTAAAGTCTTCCGTGTAGTTAATCCATTTTAAATTTTGAAAATGTAAATATAGTTACGTCATTGACTAAGTAGATTGCCCACGAACAATCACTTTTTAGGATAGTGGATTGTAAATATTTTCATGAAATAATGAAGCAAACAACGAAGGGAAAGTATAACCCTGTTTCATCAAAATCACTTTCTCAGGACAGAATTCCTAAGCTATATAAATTCATCAGTGATCCTGTGAACAAAATTATTGACAGTGAGAAGATTGACCTTGACGGTTGTGCCTTTACTACTGATATCTGGACTTCTTGTATTAACCTTGCTTTCCAATCGCTCACTCTACATTTTATTACAAAACGTTTTCAGCTTAAACAACTTCGTGTTAAACTTGATTCATTTCCGGATGCACATAATGCCAAAAATATCGTAGAAAAGTTAGATTACTTAATAAAACGCTTGAGTTTGGAGAATAAAACAAATACATGGGCGACTGAATGGAGGATCAAATGTTATGAAAGCTTTGTGCATCAGCAAATTTATCAACGACAATCTTTGGTGCACTGATCATCAGGTACATTTAATTGTCACACAAGTTCTAGCTAGTGTTCCTGAGTGGTTAGATATTGCACTAAAGCTAAATAAATTAGTTAGGCACTTCAGTCATTTCTCTAAGGCCACGAGTATTTAAGAATTATCCTATTGATAAAATTTCACAAGTTTTAAGCTCTGACAAAGACCCAACAATCAACTTGGTGATATTGAAAATCTATAATCTTAAGAAAAAATTAACTAAAATTGGAAAACTAAGTTCTCTTACATGTGTCAAGAATATAAATCAAGCGCTAATAGCAGGGTTCCAACAACGTCTTCCTGATTGTGGTCATAAAGTACCTGAGTATTTAATGGCACATTTTCTTGATCCAAGACAAAAGGGATCAATCATTTTTGCACTTGATGAGCAAAGATACGAAAACATGAAGGATACCGCTACTCAAGCTATAATTAATATGCGCAGAAGAGATGTTTGCGAATGTCTAACATGCATTGAAAACGTTACCCAATCATCCAAAAATGATAATTTGTCCGATGAAATAGCTTCAACTGCTGCTGTAAAGAAGCTGTATGGGCAAAATAAAAATAAAAACACTGAGAAAAATTGTCCGTCAACTTATGTCAAATGCGAGATAGCACGTTATGTCGATGAAGGAGTTGCAAACGACAACGCAGATATTATTGAATATTGACTAACCGACTAAGACTAACCGTACAAGATTACCTTAATCTCAGCAGACTAGCAAGAAAGATCTTATGCATCCCTGCATCATCAGCAACCTCTCAACGAGTATTTTCAACTGCTGGAAATGTTCTCACGGAAAGAAGAAATAGCCTTAGCATTAACAATATTGAAATGATGGTTTTCATGAAAGAAAACCTGAAGGAGATGGAAAATATCACCTGGTCGATGTTTGAAGAAGATATCAATAAAAAAAAAGAAAATATGTAGAAAAAATATACTTTATTGTACATAATGAATTATTTTTTTTCATTGTTTCATTTAATTAAAATTTTTCAATTATTCTGAAAAGTTGATAATATTACCATCAGGTGGCCTGCGGCAAGTATACAGGGACGTACCGAAGAGAATTTACAAGAAGGGAGGGAGGGGTGAAGTTTGTTTTTTTGCAGACTAAAAAACAAAATTGAAATAGTTAAGGTCTAAAAAAAAAAAAAGGTCCTCGGCTTTTGATATTTGCCGACTGAAGTTCTAAGTTGGCCGGCTAGGCACATTTTTGTCAACTGGTAAAAATGGTCGGGGGGTTACTAACGTCCTACGCCCCCACCCCCTAAGGACGTCCCTGCAAGTATATACAATCTATGCCACATTGCCGAGGTGGGTGTTTAATAATATTTTTCATATATTTTTTCATTATCCTCTGATCTGATTTTTCATTATCCTGTGATCCTGTGATGATTGCCAAAAAAATTTATTAGATATATCTTGCGGTGTTCCTCAAGGCTCTATATTGGGACCCCTCTTATTCTTGATTTACATTAATGACTTAAATAAAGCTTCAAATCTACTTAGCATTATGTTCGCTGATGATACTAACCTATTCCTTTCTGATACTGACATCTCCAAACTGTTTTGTAATATAAATGACGAACTTAAAAAAATATCTAGCTGGTTCAAGTGTAACAAATTAACTCTTAATCCTAATAAAACAAAATGGATTATTTTCCACCCGCTTCAAAAAAAACGTTACCTACCCATAAATCTGCCTAAAATATTTATTAACCAAATTGAGATTAAGAGGGACTCTGTCATAAAGTTTTTAGGAGTCTATCTTGATGAGCACATTACATGGAAACAGCATATTGATCACGTATGTATCAAGATTTCTAAAAATATTGGAATTTTATATAAATCTAGAGATTATCTAAATAAAAAAAGTTTGACCCAACTCTATCACTCGTTCATCCATAATTATATAAATTATGCAAATATTGCTTGGGGAAGTGCTGGAAAGAATAAGTTGAAACGTCTTTTTTCACGTCAGAAACACACAATTCGTATTATCAATTTTTCCGATCGTTTTACTCATTCAAAAACTTTATTTAACGAAATGAGAATACTTAATATTTACAAAGTGAATTTATATAATACTCTATGTTTTGTATATATGTGGAAAAATAACTTATCTCCTGACGTTTTTAAAAATATTTTTACCTTGAAACCAGACAATAAGTATGCACTGAGAAATAATAATTTGCTAAATCA